AGTTTGTCAGGATGTTGTTTGAAGTTGAGGGGACTTGTGTGAAGTTCATTCTCTAAAAGGTTTGTGAATCTCGACCAGTCAGCCTTCTTGAAGTTCCATGATAGCTTAGTTGGCACTTTCGTTGTCATGCTTTTGCTGCCGATGGTAATACTAGCAATGACTGGTTTGTGACCAGAACTAGGATCGAAAATAATTTTGCCGTGTGTATGCTCGCTGATGTCGCTTGAAGCCAGGAGCAAGTCAGGAGTTGTTCTGGTTCCATTGTTGTGCAAATATGTAGCAGGATCCTCATTGCCATGAATAAGTTCTAGAGGGTTGCTGCTTAGCTTGTCTTCAATTTCCTCACCAGCTATTTTTGTATTCTTATAGCCCCATCTGGAAATATAAGCATTGAAGTCACCTAATACTACAGTTTTGTGTGAGATGTTCAGAAAATCAAAGTTGGGACTATTCTGGGGTGGATTATAGACTGCATATATCTTGAAGTGGTTTTGACATTTCCAAACACTTAATCTGATTATTTCACATATGTCTTGCGTCGAGCCCATACTCTTGATAAGATCGCAGTGTGAGGTGAGGCCTTCTTTTACTCCAGTCAGAATTCCATTTGCAACTTGTCGGTATTTAGGTAGAAGGTATAAGGGGTAACCTGTTAATTTGTAGTATTTTAGTTTGTCATCCAAAGGGTTTACTTCCATAATTGTGAAAATGTCTACATCATAGGTTTGAGCTGGGAATTGGTAGTACTTCAGTTTGTCATCCTAAATGTTTGCTTCCATAATTATATAATTGAAAATGTCTACATCATAGGTTTGTAGGATTTTCTGGACTTAGATCTTTTTGTTCTGTGACATCCCTTCAGCATTCCACTGAAGAATCTGTAGAAGTTGTTATTCGCCTTTACGAGGGCAAATTCTCCTATAGCGTCATTTCAAGCTAATCATAATAAACAAAAGTCAAATGCTGAGTGATAGCATTTCTTGCCGTATAAATATACGTTGTCCAGGGTGCACCACGTGGAGGTAAGTCTATCGAGCACCCTTTGGGTGAAAAATGAAAGTACCTATTTGAAAGACACCAAACGCACCTCCTCACTTTATGATATCACTTAGGTTGACATAGACTCCGATGAGTTTGCAGAGAGTGGCGATAATTCTCTTCACCCCCAAGCCGACAGAATGATCCAATCAACACTCATACGTCGTGTCTGGACATCTTCAACTAACTCTGCAACATCTCAAAAATCTATGGAACTCAGTCTCACCGAATCATCGGAGAAACTTCCCACAGGAGTGGAAGAGATTACTAGGAAAGGAGGATTTTCAGACTAAATGCTATACTTTGATAGAATTCCTGGAGACAATTGCGCGCATACCAAGACAGTTAAGAGCAGATTTAATACTTTTATGCGAAAGTTTGATAAAGAGAATTCTTTTATGATTGTTAAGTATATATGAGAATAAGATAATTACTTGGCTCGAAGAACATGAAGTACGTATACAAATACTTGAAGAGCAGACAAAAGCGAAGTAGAAGAAACCAGCAGATGAAAGTATACCACTAACACTGCCAAGAAGTCCTGTTAATCTCTTGAAGAATATTGATTGGTACCAATATGCCTGCGAGATGACAGAGATAAGAACATATTCCCATACGGAATAAAGCTTATAGATATTCAATTGACATCAAACTTTCATGACCAGCCTGATACTAAATTTCAAAAGGAAAAATATTACTTGATGGGGTGAGTCTCAACTTCGTCAGTACCACCAGTGGAATGCTGGAAATAAGCCACAAGACAAGGAAATTGTTTGGAAAAGGCAAAGCCACTCCAAGGTGTACGCGGTCTATAATTCACCACAGAATTGACCCAACTTCGATTTTCTGAACATCTCACATAGAATAAGAGTAGTTGGAGGCTTCAACGCCCACTACATGAGATAGGACTATAAGGATAGAAATATGGTTTGAAGGAAATGGAAGAAATACCTAAGGGCAACCCTCTAGAACTTATTTGGAGCGAAGATGAACCTGCCACATGTCTTCACTTCCATGGAACCAGAACATCCCCTCACTTCTTCCTGGTTTCAAACGACATCAATGAACTCACACATTGCAAAATAATTGACGATTCTGGTACTGGTCACTAACCAGTCATTGTTAGTAGTACCATCTACAACAAATATATTACACCCAAAATGCCGACTGGCTTAAATTAACAAACCTTTTGGAAAATGCACTACTTGCAAGACTTATCAACTACAAGCGTGGTGGTCTTGTTGGTTTTGAAATGGGTTGAGGGCTTGAGTGCCTGAATGAATGAATGAATGAACCAACCAAGACCTTAGCTGTAGTGGGCGAAACAAATGTGTACGCACACTGCAACTTCTAAGACTAAGAGTTAGCAGCGTACGTACGCATAAAGATAAGTTCAGCGAATGAATGCATGAATGACTTGGGTGTGACCTTGCACAATCTGTCAAAGATTTCGTCTCCAACTTGAAGTCAAAAGTTCGAATTAGGGAATTAAATCATAAGGAAGTGATTAAAAGGAGACAATTCACCTACTTTCTCTCGTGCCCTTACAAGTGCATTATTAGGAATGACAGGGAGAATGCCAACACTGCTCAATATCGACACTGCAAGTGTGTCGAGTGTACCCTGAGGACATATGATTCAAAGGAAATACAGCTAGAAGACAAAACTGTTCCTTTTGAAAACGGTACACATAGTGCAAACTGGTTGTGAGACTTCTTCTTTTGCAGAGCAGAGCTGTCATCTTGTTCAGCATTCAAATCCACACCGAGTTCCCCAATGTGTATACGTTGCAAAGTGTACTTGTTGGCATTCTAGTTGTATTTTCCCTCAAATCACGCTTCCACAGGGTCACTCGATTACATTATTTGCATTTGTAGAGCAAGTTGAACCCACTAGGCAGGTGACAGCTAGCTTTGTGAAGTCACCAGTAAATCATTCACACCGATTGGCCACTAATAAGCACCGAACAAATTTCAAACTGGTAGTAGTCATGATGACAAGAGGTTTTGTCATGACCACGCCCAATCGTGATTTTAAGAGGGAAGAGGAAGGTACGAAATCAAATCGGGTGGAAGAGGAAAACGTTGAAACTTTGATGGATGGGATATGAAAGGGCAAGTCTATTCCTAATTCTGCACCAACTAACAGTTCGAGAACTCTTTGAATTCCGAACTGGTAGTTAGTGTAGAGTTGGAAACAGACTTCCGCGTTGCAAGACAATGCATCAACTCTTCGTGTCTTACCACGTCCTCATAATCTGATATCAAACCTTTCTCTTCACTCTTGGAATGAGGCCTGGGAGTGGTCTTAACAACACCTTTCTTGAGATCAGCACCACTTCCAGTCACGTAGCCTACGCTCGAGCAAGTACTCAGGCTCTGAGTTTTGCTCATGCGCATGGGCTTTAGCTGCTCAACTCTAGAGCGCTGTATAGTAAGGTGGCGCCACACACACAAACACACATACACACACAGTGGTGTGCACCACCCACTACTGACAGTTGGGCAGGTTTTTGTTCCACTCGAAACCACAATTGAGTATCGATGATGACAGGTAGAATACATCGTCGCCCGATCCTTGGAACAGCCAGAAGTAGTTGAGTGACTGAATGAATGAACCAGTCGAGGCTTTGGCTTGAGTGGGAGAAATAAATGCGCATGTGCATGGCATCTCCAGTTTCTAAGAGTCAGTATCTTACTTACGCATGAAGATATGTTCGATGAATGAATGACCTGTGAAAAGTGAAACGGTAAAGCATTCCCTTGGTCTTACACATGGCACCTGAATGTAGCGTAATTATGTCCATTACAATTATTTTCGATTATTCTTAAAGTTGCTAACTATGAAAGTCACGTTGTCGAACAAGTTTCCTTTAATTGGGATTCTAGCATCATTAAGCTACTAACTGTGGACTGCGTCGGCTCTTTCATTGAAATTATAATTGCCAGCTCAGTTGTATCAGGAAATTTAAGTCCTGTAGAATAAAATTGTTTCTGAAATAGGCTTAGCTGATTTAGTGGTATCGGAGAGAGTAAACTTATGGTATGAGCAGCTTTCATTACAGGTTATGGGCCACTGACCCTTAGATCTGTGCTTCACCATGAAGATTATTAGTCGCTAGTTGCCTTAATGGCTTCCACGCTCACTATCGCAATTGCCACACCTTCCGGACTGTTTGTGCATGTGCATTTGATTTCTTTGTTAAGCCTTGATAGCATTGTGCACTCAAAACAGAAATAGTTGCATAATTTTTCTAAAACTTAATTAAATTGGCAAATCCATTTTTTGATTTGCGCTAACACCTGAACGAAAATGTCTGACAAACTTAGCATTGATTATGCAAATGGCGGAAGTTATGTTCTAATCTCAAACCTGGTTATTGTGGGACACGTTATCGCTATGTGCGTCATCGCATGTCTGCACGCCAGGATTGGGAGGTGCGGCCGTACAACTCTGTACAGCGTCGATACAAACAGTGGCCAATCAGCAGCCTCCGTTTGTTTAACCTAATCCGCCATCCTGATCATGATTAAGCTTCCTGAGTGTACTTTTTACTTACTATAACCCTACTGAATAAACGTGTTCCGTGCTACACGTCTGTTTCCTTTTATACCTGGGCTATGGCTTAACTGGTTCTGGGAGTCTAGCTAGATGTTGTAGAATCTGCCATAGAGATTTCTAAATCAGTCAGGCTTTACTAGCGTAGCGATCCGCTACATTATGTCTTCTTGCTTCCCAGTATCTCTGGCCTTCCGTACTTGTCTTTAGGGCTGGACACCGAATCAGGTGGGTCTTTCCATTTCCTCCTGTAGGTTACATAGGGGGAATGTGGGTTGGGTGTATATTCCTTATCTGTGAAGATGTTTTGCCAAGCAATCGTGCCTGGTACGTGGTCTAAACTCAGCAACTGCTTCGATTCTTGGCCAGTCGGCTATGTCGGAGAGTGCTACTGTCCACTGTTTCTCCTTTGTTCGCTGTGGCATTATAGGCAATGAGCGCGCAGACACACTTGCAATGAAGAGGTCTACACTTGTTCAAGGTGGAGACGGCCGATGATTTTCTACACAATGAAGACATAGCTGAATGACCAGGAATCGAAGCTGTTGAAGAGTTAGACTGTGTACCGGGCCCGATTGCTTGATGAATCACCTTCATACGCTTAATCAGCTTGCCTCTTATGTGACCTACAGGAGGAAATGGAGAAGACCCACCTGATTCGGTGTCCAGCCCTAAAGACAAGGACGGAAATCCAGAGATACTGGGAATTCAGAAGTCAACTAATGAAATACTATTAACTATCCTAAAGCCTATATGCTGTTCCTCCCCCCCCCCCCCCTCCCCCTTGTGAATGCCGAAGCCAAATAAGGAATTAATGATAAATAACATAAAGCCTAGCATTTGATATAATCTACGTCACTTCTTCATGAAATTGCACTTTTTTATAATAAACGGAAGCCAAACCAAATCTTCTGTCATCGATCCCTACAAAATGGCTCCTCAACATGACCTTTTGCAGTAGGTACATATATTTCACGTCTTTATAACAAAGCCTTCACGTGCATAAATATTACAATGAAGATCACCTTTATAATTATAGTTATTAACCAATTCGTAATCATTTTAAGGATTTGGTATTTAGAGTAGTGAATGGACAATATGAAGCGAGTTGAAGAGATCTTTGGTAATAAACGAAAGTAGCAGGTATGAGAGCAAATTCATTGCTGGTTTTGTCAAGAGATCATAATGAAGGCAAAGGGGGGGGTGGTTTTCCTTGTTTGTGTATTGCCCAATTTAAACGATCTGACACCATGGTTGGCATTATCTGGACTCTCATCTTAAGACGCTTAGTCCTCTCACATTTGGACATTATGTGGTATGACGAGTTAAGGAGATGGTAGAAAAAGTAAATATGGCATCTACTCCACTCGAGTAACTTCACTCTTCTTACTACATATTCTGCTAACGTGTTCGGCCTCTTTCTCCTCTTAGCATATTCTTCTAAACCAATCACAGACTGCTTAGTCTATGTGCGTGTTTAGATGTTCAAATGGTTGTGTATAATTGAATAGGACTTGACCGTTCACAAAATATAACTCTAGGTATCAACCTTGATTCGCACAGCAATATAGACTAAATGACGCATCTATAAACATTCTAGCTGGTTTTACCCACTTGTCACATTTAACTTCATCCCATAGGAAACGGGAACGGGAAATCACTATTCAAATACCTGTACATCGTGCAATAGATCATATTCTCCAAGGTTGCTCTCCGGCCAATCACTGCTTGAACAAACCCAGCGGCAAATGATTAAAGTTCAATTTTCTTTTTCTCAAAAAATGTCTGATTAAAGGATTGGCCTTATCTGTTTAAACTCTGTCGATCTTGGCCCTAGGAAGGTGAGCAAATCATGTAATAATGCATCTGACCAAACGTAAACCATTTTGGTCATGCCTCAATACCATCTGTCACGCACCTACCGATAAATGAATAATTACCAGAAAAAAGTTTGCGAATTTTTAAATGTGGAGACCAAAAGATTACGCATTAGACATCCATTAAAGATATGAGCAGTGCTAAATCATAAAAGTCAAAAGACAGTCTGAAGAATGACATTTGGCAAAAAGTAGACTTAAAGCCACCAGATGACCTCAATCGCACGAATTGGTGAATTACAACAGGGTTTGAACAGATTCTAGCAAAACTGTTGGCCTCTCAATGCATTTCCAAATTAAGGCAGCAACAATAAAATAAAAAGGAATGGTTGTCTACTTCATATTTAGTGTTGGGCTCAATGACTGAACCCGATATCACTTGGATAGTCTTTAATGGTTTTGCCATGCAGGAACATAAAACACGCCTCCTTTTCCTTATCAAACCAAAAGGCATGGTTATGCATGGGTTTTCTTGGTTAGGAAAAATTATAACAAAAGACTTAGCTACTATAAAACGCAGACGCAACAATAATAACAACAACGTGTTCCCTTACGTTGGGCTATGCACCCCATTAGATTCCAGAGAGAGAGGGTATCGAAGCATATAAAAACAACTTTTTTCAACAAAAGGATGACATAAATTGTGAATATGGAAATTCTTGTGATAAAAAAGGTCCGATTTACGAAACATTAAACGAAATCACAAGGCAAGTTTTAATCTGCAACATTTATTACAACTCTGCAACTCCAAAGGGTTAGTGCATAGTATGCAAGATGTAAGCGCATTCAACCTCATAAGAATATGGGTGGTTTGATGCTGACGCTCCGTGTTTCGTTTGGTATTTCATTATGGTAGTAGGCAAGAGCACAAAGAATTCTGTCCGAGCCCATCAAAGCTCCATTTTTCATTCGAACTGCATTGGTAGCGTCTTCGAAGCTAGTAAACTTGAGCAAAGCGAGGCCTGTTGGTCGACCATTTTTTAAACCAATATTACATGAAATCATATTTGTACAATCAGCAAACACTTCTTTCAAATCGTCTTGAGTTACGTCGGAACTGAGATTTTCAACTATTACCTTATAAGTCGTGGCATTTGAAGGCACACTAACTTTCACCTGCTCGGTATCGATAAATTGACGCTTCGCTGGAGTTAGGGCCTCACTGACACTAAGAATCAATCCTTGACAATTTTTCCCATTCATTGCGATGACAGCCGATTGAGCGCTTGCATGTTCCTTGAAGGCAACAAATCCGAATCCCCTTGAATTTCCCACCTCATCTCTCATTATGCATACACTAGTAATTTCACCGAATTCTTTGAAAGCCTCCTTTAGTTGCTCCTCATTCATAGTTGAGCGAAGATTCTTAACGATAAGATTTTTAAAAGCATTAGAAGAGCATATTCGATCCTTCTTCACTTTGTATGCCTCTATGAAAATCGCTTGATCCCCAAGTTTCCGTCCATTCATAGTTGCAATGCACCTTTCTGCATCTTCCACCTTTTCATACTGCACATAGCCGTATCCTTTCGATTCTCCTTGAGCGGTTCGTGATATCTACAAATGAACGCGCAACGTTTTTACTAAGAATTAGGGAACAATAAATAATACCTTCACGGAAAGAACAGGTCCAATAGCGCGAAACTCCGAGTTAAGATCCGCCTCTGTAAAATTCTTTGGAAAATTTTTAACGAAAAGATTAGCCCTTCCGCTATCAAGGTCACTTGGATCGTCACGCTTCAACATTATTCTCACCGGTTTGCCAAGCACTTCGTGGTAATTCAACGCTTCAATTGCCGCGCGAGCTGAAGAAAATTAGACATGAATGAACTTACCAAGTTCAGGAGTTTGATATCCAACAAATCCATAGCATCGGCTTATATTAGTATCAGGATCTACTACAACCTGGCAGAATACAGGCGGATGAAATTCGCAGAATAGGGAAATTAGCATTTCATCGGTAGCCAGAGGATGAAGATCTCCAACATAGAGGGTGCAATCGTTAATTGCAAATCCGGTATTCATTGCTATGGTTCATATACAATTTTGGAATAATTGGGAGAAAAGTAGATTTATTAGAGTGTGTACCTTTCACACGATATCCACTTGGTATTTGTAGATCACGAATCACATTACCGATCACTGCTGAGAAATCTTATATCGACTCAGAAGTGAGCATTAATTATTCGAATTTAATATTTCATACAAGTATTTGTTAAGAACATGAAACTCATAATTCTAATGCTAATATTACAATTTGCCCCTAGTTAATATGTATTTAGGGTTATTTGCTTGATATGTGAAATATAGTGTAGCATTCAATTAGAATGGGGGTAAACATTAGGCTTCGTAGTGATCAAAAAAGGGCCTACAAAGTCTGTGGTATTAGATTTGATATGCGACAATGCCCATCTATCTATCAGTAAACAAAATCTTGTCAATCAAGATAAGCCCAAGAGTCCTATTCCCCC